TCCATTAGCTTTATAACAAATTTATCCAATTTTCTTTTTTTTTTGGTGTGAACTGTCATATCATATTTATTAAGTTAATATAAAATTTAATGTAAACTATAATTGTGTAAACACATTTTATTGGGAAAATTGCTTCCAGCCCCCAAAACCGCCCATAATATGCTCTGCCCCCCCAAGACTTTTTCAACGGGCCCTTTACCCCCAAAACCGCCCCCGATTTTCTTCCAGCCCCCAAAACCAATCCCCAGGCGTAACGCCGTTTAAACCCCGCTCGAAATGCCCAAAATACCCTTACGTTTAAAATTCCCCGTTATGAGTTACCTTCTCGTCCGTACCCTATCATCTCTCTCTTCTGCAAGCAAACCGACCCCAGAAACCCAATTCAAAACCCTAGCCCTAAATCAACCGACCCCAACGCAAACCGAATCAAAGCAAAGGGATCAAAATGGCCGGCGATTCAACCCCCAAAGCCAACCTCAATGCCGACCACAACGAAAGCGATGACGCCCAGTGGTGCGAAATCTCAGATAGTGCAGTGCGGAATGAATCTGAAGCTCGAGCTGTGATTGGCGATGTTCTAGAGGACATCGCAACCAGCCATTCTCATCCCAGAAGCCCGGCTCAAAATTTAAGCCGCAAGTTTTATGTTGTTAAGGTTACGGTTTGATTGATAATGCTCTTAGTCTGGTGGGAAGGTCCAAAATTACGGTGTCTGTTAGCTGTTGAGGTTACTGTTAACATGCAAGGTCTATGCTTTTATTGTTGAGGTTGTGTTTGGTTGTTGAGGTTAGGCTTTGGTTGTTAAGGTTAGGTTTTGGTTGATAAGGTTGTGGGGTTGTTGTTAAGGTTGTTGGTTCTATGCTTTTATTGTTGAGGTTGTGTTTGGTTGTTGAGGTTAGGCTTTGGTTGTTAAGGTTAGGTTTTGATTGACAAGGTTGTGGGGTTGTTGTTAAGTTTGTTGGTTGATAAGGTTATGCCTTTATTGTTGAGGTTGTTGTTTAGTTGTTGAGTTTAGGCTTTGGTTGTTAAGGTTAGGTTTTTGTTGTTAAGGTTATGGGGTTGTTGTTAAGGTTGTTGGTTTACCCGCAAAGTTTACATCATAGTTGTTATGTTTACTGATTATACTAAAAAATGCTCTCGTCTTGTGTTTTTGTTTTGTAGAAAAAGGGCAAGGCCAGCTATTACGTTGCGGCCCACCGCCAGCTTTGGTGCCTATCACGACTTCATGCAGAAATTGGTGACGCATATGGGGCTAAGGCATTTTGCGGCCTACGAAGATAGTGTATTCAGACACTACGTCCAATTTGGCCCACCTGCCGTCGATCTTCCCACCTTTGAGCACATTTTGAGTCAGTGGGACAAGAAGAGCAGAAAATTCGTCTTCACCGATAGGAATGATGGAGAAGAGATCCCATGCTCATTCAACCTTGAGTGGGTAATGGAGCATACATGGTTCTCCAATGAGGGGCTTCATGTTGACCACAATCGGGACAGGAAAAATAGGATTTGGTCCAGGTTCTTTGACAACCCCGAGGCGGGGGGTTCCAGAAGTATAGCTCCCCCCAAAGGAGGCCCCACCAGACGCAATGTGGAGGACCTGCTCTTGAAGCTGGTACTATCTTCTGATCGTCGAGATGTGAAGGACTTTGTCCTGCTACAGATCCTCTATCAACTGAGCATGATTTGGTGTCCAAGCAGTATTTCTGGCGTTCCTAGGCATTTATTCAAGTACGTCGATAGCATCGAACAGGTCAACAACACTGCTTGGGGGACCTATATATTCAGTGAGACATCTAACACGATAGAGAGGGCACTGAAGGGTCCTGAGCCAGGGAAGACGACATTATATCTGCAAGGGTGTACCCCTCTAGTTTGTGTAAGTAATCATGTTTTTTACTGATTGTGAAGGTTAGGGTTTAGTTGTTAATGTTACAGTTTCGTTGTCAAGGTTACGGTTTGGTTGTTAATATTACGGTTTGGTTGTTAATATTACGGTTTGGTTGTTAAGGTTACGTTTTTATTGTTAGGGTTACTTATTAATTGTTACGGATGAAGGTGTTTGTTAAGTTTCTATTTCTCTAATGGGCAGTTGTGGTATTATGAACTCACCGGCATCAAGAAGCCAGCACTTGATTGTACGGTGAGGCCTCCCCTGACAAATTGGGTGAGACTTAGGCACGTTGTTGGTTCTTTGAGATTGGCCACTGTTGTTGCGAAAGCAAGCAAAGCTACGATAAAGCTTTCACAGCAACATGGACAACTTCAAAGAATCGAGGGAGGTTTTTGTGGGAAGGAGCAGGGGATAGAGAAAGAGAAGAGGAGAGAGAGAGAAGAGGAGGATTAAGGGTCCGGCTGCAGTAGACGCCGGCAGGGCTCGTGGCCCAAGAGACCTTCTTCACAAGAAGAAGAGGAGAGCAGAAGATGACGACATCCCAATTGATGCACTTGTAAGAACTTAGCAATCGTTGATTTCATTTGTTTTTGAATTAATTAATTAATCCTTTTAATAGTACCCTACCTGTCCGTTGCATATGTGATGCCACAGGATATTAATGAAGACGCCGAGCAGCCAAATGATGCAGCTGAGCAAATGGATTGGCCTCAGCAAGTTATCTACTGGAAGAGCATCGCGGCAATGAACGAAGCATTACGCCGCGAGAACGAGAATAAATTCAAGGATATGATTGCTGCAGACCGTGTAAAGATAAGTGCTCTTTCTGTGAAGGTGGCTAAGCTGTCTGCTCAAAATAGAAGACTGAGAGAGGAACTAAGCGAAGCACGATCCGGAACCCTCTCTGTATACAAGGATAAGAGCCCTACAGGATTGGTGTCCAGCCCATTGATGGAGCCGCAAACTTGTACAGGTTAGATGTGGCTTGCAATTACGTTTGCGTGTTATAGTTAAAAATTGATTGATAAGTATATGGATTTATTGTTAAGGTTAAGAATGTATTGTTAACTTTACGGATCTAATGTTAAGGTTAGGGATTTATTGTTAAGGTTAATAATGTATTGTTAATTTTACGTATCTAATGTTAAGGTCAGGGATTTATTGCCAAGGTTGGAGATTGATTGTTAAGTATCTTGGTTAGTTTTAAGGTTATATAACTGATGCTATGTTTTTTTTGACAATGAAGTACCTAAGCTCATTTGTGTTTATTTTTTGAATCTGACACTCCAGGCACCGTGGGTGGCATTGATGTACAGTACGAGGGGGATGTCAATAAATCATTATTATTTGATGAAGCTAATAAGGAGAGCGAGGCCCCTCCAACAGGGAGGGCCTCTCCACAACCATTGTTTTCTGATATCCACAAGGAGAGTGAAGATGCTCCGTCAGGAGAATTACCTCCACCAGAGGCATCTGCTGTTGACAAGACTCTTGAGGCAGAAATAAACGAGGGAGAGAAGGTGTCCCCGCCAGCGAAGGAGCTACTAACTTATACAGGTTAGCTTGCTTTTGTACTATATGTTAGAGATTGGTTGTTATGTCTACGTATTGGTTGTTAAGCTTTTTATTGTTTATACTCTGAATATTATCAGAAACAGGCACTCAACGCGAGGGCACTGGAAGGGAAATAACGCCGGCGGTTGAAGTCCCTTCTGCAGGTGATGGGGAGACGCAAACTTGTATAGGTTAGCAACTTTTTCACCATGTGTTTAGGCATCAGTTGTTAGCTTTACTATAAAATTATTAAGTTTAGATAGAAGGGGCTATGTTTTCTTAATATTTATACTTCGAATGGGTTGTTTGGAATCAGACACTCTGCGGGAGGACACTGGGATGGAAATAAAGCAATTAGAGAATGCCCCTCCACCAGCAATAGAGACATAAACTGATGACAAAGATGCTCCTATTGTGTTTTCAAAGGCTTTGAATAAGAGAAAGAGGGGTGCAACGGGGGCACGCGGGAAGGTGGCCGCTGCTGCACCCCCTAAACGGAATAGATGCAAAAGATCAGTGAAGCCTTCCAAGTGGGTAGTCACCCCTTACACTGAAGGGAAGAAGAAGAAAGAAAAAGATAACATAGGGGACAAGGCTATAATAGAAGTGGGTGGGGAGGAGGAAGCGCAGGTGCAGGAAAACAATGCAGAGTTGGCTCCTGCTCGGCTACAAAGTGACCCCCACTCTATCTGGGAAAAACACATGAGTTCCCCTATGAGTTCAGAAGAAGAAATGTACAGAGATAAGCTGAACGAGGGGATTCCCTTTCCAGATGGCTTCATCATCAAGTTTTTGGGCGACAAGGACACATTTGTACATAACTATAAGGTGTCAGCAGACGTTGCCGCGCTACTGACGGAAGAGGAGCAAAAAGCTCTTAACCATTTTTGCATTTGTAGATGTAACAAGTAAGTATTTACCTCACATCTCAAGTATTTACGTTTGTTGTTTAGTTTGCGGGTTTGTTGTTATGGTTACGGGTTTTTTTGTTATGGTTATTGATTTGTTGTTTAGGTTAAGGGTTTTTTTGTTATAGTTATTGATTTGTTGTGCAGGTTATGTGGTAGTTGTTAAGGATACGTATTTGATGTTAAGGTTACGTGTTTGTTGTTATGGTTACGGGTTTTTTGTTATGGTTATTGATTTGTTGTTTAGGTTAAGGGTTTTTCGTTATAGCTATTGAATTGTTGTTAAGGTTGCGTGATAGTTGTTAAGGATACGGGTTTGATGTTAAGGTTACTGGTTTTCTTGTTATGGTTACGGGTTTTTTTGTTATGGTTATTGATTTGTTGTTTAGGTTAAGGGTTTTTCGTTATAGTTTTTGATTTGTTCTTGCTGCTAATTGTTAGTTGCTAACTATTATTTTTGTTTTTTTCCCTGTTTGCAGTTTTATTAAAGTGTACGAGGGATCAGCAGGGTCTATTACCCGGCTTGAGATCCTCAATATATTACGCGGTGGGCGACTGGATGATTCAGTAAGATTTTCGATTGGTATTTATTCATTAGCATATTTAACAATACTATTATTAATTACTTGTTGCCAACTTATGATGATTTAGTTCGTGAAAATCAGAGAGCGTCGTCCAGTATAAAATTCGGGGTGGTCCCTGTTTGGTTTAGTGTAAGTTTATGTCTGGCGTGGCGTATTCCTAACTATCAGCACATAATCTATGTTAAAAGGAACCTGATCGGGTTATTTCTTTATTGCAGCACCAGATACATGTGCCGAAACCAGATTACCAAGAGCTGCATGATATCTACATCAAACGCTTGGTCGATGAAGGGTGTACTAACCTCTTAGTTCCCATTGTCCAGGGCGATCATTGGCATCTTCTGGAGTTTGATGTCGAAAATGATATTGCCAGGCATTACGACTCCTTGAAGGAGAGATCTGGACATTGGGACCCTGTGCTCAATATCGTCAAAGCCTTCAACTACATTAAAGCTGGCTTCAATGAGAACCAATTGCGCAGCGTATTCGACCCAATCAAAGTTCCATGCGAGGAGCAAAAAGGATCGTAAGTTTGCCGGTCATTGTTGGAAACTGGTTGTTAAGGTTACGAATTTGTTGTTATGTTTTGATTGAAAGCAACAATGGTCTCAATGCTTCCTTGTGGTTGTGTGCAGGTATGACTGTGGGATCTATGTCTACCAGTTCGTACAAGCGATTACCGAAGGTAGAGATGTCCTGCACGTCACGCCCGAAGAGCATAACACATGGGTGGTTCGTGCGAAGCTAGCAGCGTACTTACTGATTGAAGGCAGGAAGAGGAAAAAAGAGGTGGGAAAACTTGACGATGATGACGTTGATATGTAGATTTTTTGTAAATGATATATTACAATATCTTTGGTGTTAATAACAATATACATGTAAATATTATAAGGTAAATATAAACAATATACAAGTAACTATTATAAGGTTGATATCAAGGGATAACATTAATAATAACAAACCCATGAGTTCAACAACAAAACCATAACCTCAACAACAAACAGCAAAGCTTAACAACATCGCAAGATTCTGCTAACTTGTGCTTCAAATGCAACCAAACTAAATTCGAAAAGATTTCTGCATTTGTCCGCCAATAGTTTACGATATGCTAGATCCCCAAGGGATAACATTAACAACAAATCCATGAGTTCAATAACAAAACCGTAAACTCATCAACAAACACAAAAGCTTAACAACACACTATATTAGCAGAAACATATTAATAGGTAGTTAATAGAGCGTATCATCATCAAGTTCAGCAAAACATTTGGTAATTTACAATAAAAGACAACCTAGGGGCCGACTGCTCCTCCCCCGCTCCCCTTGCTCGAAGCGCGATCGTGGTAGAAACCCCTATCGCGAGGAAGGGTAGACGGCCCAACACCTTGGGCCCGGAGAAATCGTTGCCAGAGCTCTTTCTCCATCGTCATTTGCCTGCCGTCCCAAGACACTTCAATCAATTCCGGGTCGGTGCGGGAAGGCTGCGGTTGCTGGCTTTGAGGTTGGTCAACGGACATGTCGATGGGACCTTGCTCATTGTTTGCCTGCTGCTCACGGTCTCCACCCACAAGCTGAGTGACGACGAAACCTTCCATCAGACGACGGTCCATGGGAGAGGTGTAACGAAACCTAATCCTCTTAGGGATATCCGAATATTCCCTAATCTCTAGCAGCACCCTGCAGTCTCTGAAGTTTGTCTTCGTGGTGACGTCAGCGGAGCAGTACACGCATTGGCCGATGCCCTCGAACAGTGATTGGAGGAACTCCAACTCCCAGAGGTGGTAGGGGAGATTGAAGAGGCGGATCCACCTAAACATGGGGTACGGCAATGCTCTTAGCCTGAGGTCCTCCCGCCAAAGCCTGAATCTGCCCACGAAGGACCCAAGATTTACAGGACTGAGCTCGACGGCCTGATCTAGTAGCTCATCAGAGGGGAATTTAACCATGAACCTATTTATAGATACCAGCTTGATCTCATAGGTCCAATCCCAGACGTCGAAGCGATACCCTAGCATCTCTCTGAGCTCGTCCAAAGATGGCAGACCCACCTCAATAGTGAGGAGAGCGAATGTAGAAAGCTCCTGAATGTTGTGGGCGACGTTATCTGGAACGGGGAGCAATTGTGGGTCGACGTTTGCTATAAGACCATGAGGGCAATCCCGGGAGATATGCCCCGATCCATGGCAATGTATACACGCGCTATCATCGTGAGACATGATCCTTCTGGTTTCGAAACGAAGGTCGTGTAGTTGTTAATGAGGCTGGGATGGGGAGAAAATGGCAGTGATGGGAAGATTGATGGCTTCGTCGAAAGGTCTTGTCATGGATACAGGGGAAGGGATGAGGGTTAATTAAAGCGTGGTGGCTGGGAATAACGAGGAGACAGATGATAATACTGGCTACCTTGGAAACATAATCTACTACGGAAGCATTTAATACAGATAGAAACCCACTAACTACTTCCTTGATCAACTTGGCAACTAAAAGGCTAAAGTTGACAAGAGAGCGCTAACCTTAGCTAACAATCCATAAGCTTGACAATGGAGCGCTAACATTAGCAACCTATCCATAACCTTGACAACCAGTACATAATCTTGATAACCAGACCATGATCTTAACAAAAAAAACCATAAGCTCAATAATACAACCTTGTATAATGCCACGTCCTTCTTTACAGCCATGCTACAACCTTAACAACCAAAAAATTAGCTATCAACAGACAAATAAGCCAAACAACAGAGCTTAACGTTACAACAGGGAGCTAACGTTAGCTACCATTCTATAGTTTTGACAACAGATAGCTAACCTTAACAACCAATACATAAGCTTGACAATTAACAACTAACCTTAACAACAGGGTGCTAACCCTATTAGTAACCAATCCATAAGCTTGACAACCAATCCATGATCTTAACAACAAAACCATAAGCTTATCAATTCACCCCGTGATCTTCTCAACCAATAAGCTATACAGTAGAGCTAAACGTTACAACAAGGAGCTAATGTTAGCTACGATTCCACAAGTTCAACAACAGATAGCTAACCTTAGCAACCAATACATAAGCTTGACAACAGAGCGCTAACTTTAACAACCAATCAATAAGCCTGACAACAGGTCGTCAACCTTAGCAACCAATCCATAAAATTAACAACCAATACATAACCATGTCAGCCAGTCCTTTAACAACATAACAATAAGCTCAACAATACAACAATGTATCCTGACACGTCCTTTACAAGCTTGCTTACACCCCTACCAAAAAAAAAAAAAAGCTTAACCGCCACGCAGTGATATTAACAAAACACTAAACTTAGTATTTGACAACCTTGTATCAACCACGTCCTTCTTTACCGTCATTCTTAACATAGAAAAAATAAGCTTATCAACAATCCCGTGATCTTCTTAACAATTCCCTAAGTTCAACAAATCAATGAGGTCTGCTACAATCTTAACAACCAATAAATAAGCCTAACAACAGAGCTAAACGCAACAACAGAGGGCTAACCATGAGCTTGGCAACAGAGCGCTAACCATAGCAACCAATAAATAATCTTGTAAATACAACGCCAAACTTCACAATAAACACGTAAACTTAACAACCAATCAATAACCTTAACAGCGAGTCCATAATATTTCTTGATAAATCGTTAAACTTAAAAAAACAATATGTATCCAAAAATAATTTCCTTTACAATTATGGTACAACCTTAAAACAAACAAATAAGCCTATCAACAACCCCGTAAACTCAACAAATAAGCTTGAATACACGATGACTACAGCATGTATTACCATTGTCTCTACTCTATGTCCCATAACCGTGGGTGAATATAACTGGCTCCATTTAATGAACTTGTTCAATAACAAGATAGTTAAGATTCATAGGTGCGTGGAATATGATAAATTCAGATGGATCAATGTGTGAATCACCTAGGAAGGCATGCGAAAGCTGTTGTAGATAGTCTTCTGGTTTACGTTTACACTGTATAGCTATACAGTGTTAACGTAAGCCAGAGGACTATCTCCACCAGCATTCGCGTGCCTTCCCATATGATTCACGCATGACCCCTGAATTGATTGTATTCACTGCACCTATCAATCATAACTGGGCGTTAATGTATAAACTCATTAAAGGGAGCCACATGCATTCACCCACAGCTAATGGAACTAAGAGCAAACACATAAGGGGATAACGTCTTCATCAGCGTGAGGGATACCCAAGATCTTCATCAGTGTGCGCAAACCTCGTCGCCATGGCCTTCATCGGCGTGAGGACTAGCGTTGATCTTCTGGTTTTAATGGCGAAAGGAGAACTTGAAAGGTTTTGGGGAAAGGGTAGCTTTTTGTTCAGATTAAATGATAGAGGGTCAACATAGAATAAATGATGGGGAGATCGAGGAAAGATTGCGCCGAAAAGAATATCTGCGCTATCTTGTAGCTGAACAGGCGAAGGGATGGTGGTGTTGCCGCGTGGAATGTGGGGATAGGTAGGTGTCCAGGTTATATTAACTCTCCTCCTTGGGAATAGGAGGAACATTGAATGCAGTAGCAGAGAATATACCCCGGTGACCGTGACAAACAAGCGCAAGTGAATAACAGTAAGGGACCTTAACAACAGGACGCTAACCTTAGCAACCAATACATAAGCTTAATAACAGAGCGCTAACCTTATCAACCAATCCATAAGCTTGACAACAGGGCTCTAACCTTAGCAACCAGTCCAATCCATGATCTTTAATAACAAAACCATAACATCAACAATACGACCCCGTGATCTTCTTAATCCATAAGCCTAACAACAGAGCTAAGCGTTACAACAAGGAGCTAATGTTAGCTACCATTCCATAAGTTTAACAACAGAGAGCTAACCTTAACAACCAATACATAAGCTTGACAACAGAGCACTAACCTTAACAACAAGGCGCTAACCTTAACAACCAATCCATAAGCTTGACAATCAGCACATAACCTTGACAGCCAATCCATGATCTTAACAACAAAACCATAAGCTCAATAATACAACCATATATTTTGCCACGTTTTTCTTTACAATCTTGCTTACAACCTTAACAATGAAAAAAATAGCTTAACAGCCACGCCGTGATCTTAACAAAGAAAAAATAAGCCTATCAACAACCCCGTGATCTTCTCAACAATTCCCTAAGTTCAACAAAACAATGAGGACTGTTACAACCTTAACAACCAATAAATAAGCCTAACAACAGAGCTAAACGCAACAACAAGGGGTCGTCCTTAGCAACCATCACATAAACTTGGCAACAGAGCGCTAACCATAGCAACCAATAATTAAGCTTGTAAATACAACGCCAAACTTCACAATAAACACGTAAACGTAACAACCAGTCAATAACCTTAACAGCGAGTCCATAATATTTCTTGATAAATCGTTAAACTTAACAAAACAACATGTATCCAAAAATAATTTCCTTTACAATCATGCTACAACCTTAAAACAAACAAATAATCCTATTAACAACCCCGTAAACTCAACAAATAAGATTGAATACACGATGACTACTGCATGTATTACCATTGTCTCTACTCTAAGTTCCATAACCATGCGTGAATATAACTGGCTCCCTTCAATGATCTTGTACAATAACAAGATAGTTAAGATTGATAGGTGCGTGGAATACAATCAATTCAGCTGGATCAATGTGTGAATCACCTAGGAAGGCACGTAAATGCTGGTGGAGATAGTCTTCTGGCTTACGGTTACACTGTATAGCTATACACTGTTAACGTAAGCCAGAGGACTATCTCCACGAGTATTCGCATGCCTTCCCATATGATTCACGCATGACCCATCTGAATTGATTGTATTCCACGCACCTATCAATCTTAACTATCTTTTTATTGTACAAGCTCATTGAAAAGAGCCACATGCATTCACCCACAGCTAATGGAACTAAGAGCAAACACATAAGGGGATAACGTCTTCATCAGCGTGAGGGATACCCAAGATCTTCATCAGTGTGCGCAAACCTCGTCGCCATGGCCTTCATCGGCGTGAGGACTAGCGTTGATCTTCTGGTTTTAAAGGCAAAAGGAGAACTTGAAGGTTTTGGGGAGAGGGTAGCTTTTTTTCCAGATTAAATATAGAGGGTCAACAGAGAATAAATGGGAGGGGAGATCGAGGAAAGATTGCGCCGAATGTCTGCGCTATCCTGTAGCTAAACACGCGAAGGGGTGGTGATGTTGCCGCGTAGAATGTGGGGATAGGTCCCTTATATTAACTCTCCTCCTTGGGAACTAGGAGGAACATTGAATACAGTAGCAGAGAATATACGCCGGTGACCGTGACAACCAAACTCTGCTGAATAACAGTAAGGGACCTCTCCACAAGAGGGCGCTAACCTTAGCCACCATTCCATAAGTTTAACAACAGAGAGCTAACTTTAACAACCAGCCCATAAGATTGATAACAGAACTCTAACCTTAGCAACCAACCCATAAGCTTGACAACAGGGCTCTAACCTTAGCAACCAGTCCATAAGCACCTTAGCCACCATTCCATAAGCTTGACAACAGAGAGCTGACTTTAACAACCAATACATAACCTTAACAATAGAGCGCTAACCTTATAAACATGGCGCTAAACTTAACAACCAATCCATAACCATAACATTTGTAACGATATACTTGACAATAAATCCATGTGCATGACAATAAAATGCTAAACTATATAGGCCCGTTCGAGTATAAGATTTCTTGGATTCTGACTGTATGATAGCATCAACCATTTGAATGCTAATAACCTTATCTATTCCCCATTGTCAATTCTCTAAGTTCCATAACCTGTGCTTGAATATAAATGGCTTCCAACAAAGAGCTTTCCAGCAGCCTGTTAAGTTAACGGAAAGCTCTTTGGAGAAGGCCATTGCTATTCAAGCCCATCCGATGGAACTTCGAGATAATGACAATGGGGAATATATAAAGGTAATAATATTCAAAAAAGGTTGATGCTATCATATGGTCAGAACCCAGAAATATTGAAGAAGTCTTCATAAGCGTGAGGGCTAGCCGTGATCTTCTGGTTTATGAGATTGGAGAGGGGAGAGCTTAAGATGATCGAGAAAATAGTGAGGACAAATAGAATGGTGGTGATGGGAAGATAAAGAAGATGTAAAGGTGAGGAGAAATGTTATATAGTTCGGTTCTGTATTGGAACAATCCGAGGGATGGTGATATTACTCTACTGCCTTGGGAACTATGAAATATATTGAATGCAGTCAAATCAAAAATATCTCGGTACCCTTGACAGCCAATTGCAAGTGAATAATAGTAACCTTAACAACAAACAAATAAAACTGACAACCAAGTAATAACCTTAACAACCAAGCCAAAACTTCAACATTGAAGTGATAAAATTAAAAACCAAGTAATAACCTTAACAACCAAACCATAAAACTTAACAATTTTAACGATATACTTGACAAATTTATTTAACGATCGGTGATACTGACAACAAAGAGCAGGTGGATAGCAGGTGTATACAATAAACTTTACATTCAATCGATAAACATAACAATTAATCAAAAACTTGAACATTAAAGTGATAAATTTGACAACCAAAAAAATAACCTTAACAACCAAATCAAAACTTCAACATTAAAGTGATAAACTTGACAACCAAGTAATAACCTTAACTACCAAGTCAAAACGTCAACATTAAAGTGATAAACTTGACAACCAAGTTTATCACCTTAACAACCAAGCTATGACCTTCTCACTTGTAGTGATATACAGGACAACAAATCCATATACATGACAATAAAACGCTAAACTATATAGGCTCGATACACCTTGCACGATTGTGACCCTCCATGTTGCATCGAGAGCACTTAACCGGTCGGGTGTTCAGCGACCTGTTATTTATTCGTCTAGTGCATGGTCTGCCACGTCTTTTTTTGGTGAGAGGAGGCTTCAACACTCGCTCTTCTGGCGGTACAAAGCGCTTCTCGTAATCTGGGATGGGATAGATGATCGGTGCATAGCTTGCTCTGAACGCAACAACAGTCATGTACCAATCGCAATATTGATAAATTTCTCGTCCCATCCATGAAATTGCAGCGCACGCATGTTTGCAGGGAATGCGGGTGATGTCCCAGGACCTGCAAGAACAAGTCCGATTCTTCAAATCTATGTGGCAAGTTTTATTAGTTTTATTGGACTCGACCTCCACAATATCTTCTGTCGAATGTTTAATCGCCAAGCAGCTACCATACTGAATGTTATCACTCAGCACCAACTCCGCTTCCGGGCATAAGTATCCAGACCATTTCTGACCCAATAGCCTCCTTTCATGCATGCGCTCCATTATTTGCTTCCGTATGGTCTCAACCAAAGGTAAGATTCGCAACAATCATGCCTTTCTTATCCAGCTGTTGAAGGACTCAGCAACGTTTGAAGTAACATGGCCATACCTTAACAACAAAGCACTAACATTAACAATAAAACCATAAACTAAACATTAAAGGCCTAACCTTAACAACAAATATCCTAAACTTAACAGCAAAACCCTAGCAGAATAACTCTAACCATAACAATAAAAATCTAACCTTAACAGCAAACTGTAGGATAACTCTAACCTTAACAACTATAACAGTGCTGTAACAAAATAACGTTGGGACCAAGCTATCTTACCTTATACCAGGAAAATGCGCGTTTGCCCATCTCTCCGGGGAGTATTCCATTACAGTGACATAAGCCCTGTGATCGATCGCTGCCAATTCTTTCATGTCATTATCCCATTCAGATATTGTGAACTTATAAGCCGCAGATTGTAACAGCTCGCCCAACGTAGTCGCAACATTTGCCTTGTACCCAAAATCCTTCATCTTCTTTTTGAAATTCTCGACTAGATGCAGAACACACCTTGAATGGAATGCATCTGGAAAGAATTCCTCGACTGCTGCCCTGATACCCTTGTCGGCGTCTGAAATCATTACCAGTCGATGTGGAGGTTGATAAGGATTTTCCCTATCATACAGTAACGTCCATAATCCTTGTAAGAACCATTTCCAGTTAACCTCATTCTCTTGGTCGCATACGCAATAAGCTAGGGGAAATATTCCCTGGTTGCCGTCATACCCAGTAGCGCTAAGTAGTATGCCTCTGTAACGATCTTTAATAAATGTTCCATCCAAAAACAATAGAGGCCTACACCCAGCAATGAACCCTTCAATACAGGCATTATAACTAATGAACAGTCGCCTGACCCTCCCGTCATCAGCATCAATAACAACACGACTCCCTGGATTAGTTGCATGCACCATGGATTCATACCTGCATGAATATAACAACAAAGCAGTACATTTAGCGAAGGATTCATAACCATAACAAATGATCTTCAAACTTCACGACCAACACGTATACTTAACGACGAACCAATAACTTTAACAACTAATACGTATAGTTAGCAACCAAAACGTAAGCAGTAGATTTAGCAAAGGATTCATAACCATAACAACTGATCTTCAGACTTCACAACCAACACGTACACTTAGCGACGAACCAATAACTTTAACAACTAATACGTATAGTTAGCAGCGAAAAGGTAAGCAGTAGATTTAGCAAAGGATTCATAACCATAACAACTGATCTTCAGACTTCACAACCAACACGTACACTTAGCGACGAACCAATAACTTTAACAACTAATACGTATAGTTAGCAACCAACACGTACACTTAACGTCGAACCGCCAACTTTAACAACTACTACGTATAGTTAGCAACCAAAAGGTAAGAGTGATTTCAGAAGAATAAAAAAGATAAGGACCATCTCAGTGAATCGTAAGCCTCATCATCGTCACCGAACAGGTCCTGTTGAGCTGTCTCCTTGCTCCACCACGCTTTACTGTAGTTAATCTTGATGCCAAAATTAGAGAGCATGTCGTTCTTGATATCGACCGCACGAAGATCTGGCCTAACCTTCAAAACAGCTTGTATTTGGCTAGCAATGAACTTCCTTGATGCCCTTGAGTTGCCAGCATTTGCTCCATGTTGACCGCAGGTGTGGGTAGACTCGAAATTCTTTATGGACATGATAGACGAATTTCTGAGCGGGGAAGCAAACAACATCCAAGGGCAACCATGTGTGTGTTTGAATCGGCAATAGACTCTTATGCGTCTTTGTTCATTGTGGTAAAAATCATACTCGAACCGTTTAGCAATTGAATAGTATTGAAGTGCTAATCTAACTTCAGCAGCACTATCAAATTTCTGACCAACTTCACGTATGGAGGTGTGCCACTCAGTTGGGATCTTTGTTTGGTGATTAAGCATGTCTTCCAGCAGCATGATCGAGTCGCCGGTGGGGTTGTCATTAGGAATACGCTCATCATTACAGGTTTGGGTGAACGGGGTATCTGCGCACCGCGAATTTTCTGTCGGTATTGTCCTGAAGTATAAATCAAAATACATAGCCTTAGCAACGAACTGATAACCTTAACAACGAACTCATAAACGTAACAGCCAACACATATCCTTAACAACTAACCCTTATACTTAAGGGCAGACTCGTGACCTTAACAACAAACGCATATACTTAACATCAAACACCTTAACTTAGCAACCAACTAGTATAAGTAACAGCCAACAAATAACTTTAACAACCAGTGCTTAACATAACCTTGACAACCAACACATTACCAAAGCAACCAATGCATGTCTTATCTTAGCAACCAACTAGTATACGTAACAGCCAACAAATAACTTTAACAACCAGTGCTTAACATAACCTTGACAGCCAACACATTACCAAAGCAACCAATGCATGAGGTTAACAACTAATGGCAAAACCTATCAGTGAACTCAAAAGGAAATCTGGAGTGTAATTCCTACGTAGTTTCCGCCGTAGTCTGCGTGTTCTGCGAAGTTGAGGATTCCGCAGCGGAGGTGGCATACAAATTCGCGTCTGTAAATCCATTACGCCGACAATACTCGAACATCAAATTTAAGTCGTCGTCATTGTCAATTGAAATGCTGAATTTCTTTTCCCTTTCGCATATGAACTTCAGTGAAAGAGATTGCATTGGTATTTTAAGCCTTTCCGCCACTTGATATCTCAAGCTGATTATTTCTGTATTCTCTTTGATAACGACGAATACACTGTCACCACCTTTGTTGCTTTTTGCCTTCGTTACCACGCATAGAAGAGATCCATCCGCCATTTTATTACAGGGAGTGGTTGAAGAATCGAAGAGGCTTTTATTGAGGAGAATTAAGTGGAAGGAACAACTTAGTTTGAAGGGGAATATAGCTGGTGATAATATCTGATGATAATTTTGGAGGGAAATGAGAATTTTCCCCCCAAAAAAAGTCATTCTAATCACCATTTAATGCCTACAGTTGAAACGATGGGTTTCCGTCGTGAGAGGGCGACGAACACAGGCTGCAAAGGGTATTTTGGGCATTTCGAGCGGGGTTTAAACGGAGTTAGGCCTGGGGATTCGTTTTGGGGGCTGGAAGAAAATCGGGGGCGGTTTTGGGGGTAAAAGGCACGTTGAAAAAGTCTTGGGGGGGCAGAGCACGTTTTGGGTTGTTTTGGGGGCCGGAAGCAATTTTCCCTTTTTTATTTGGTTCCAAGGTGAACAGTTAAAAGGCATGGTGATCATTGTTCTTGAGCAATTTTTTATTCCTTGAAATGTGAGCATATAGGGATCCCTAGTACCACTTTTATCAATTCAAACATTTACCAACTTCCTCTAATATTGTTTGTGCTGGGGGACACAATTGTTGCCTACTAGGCACCAAGTAAAACTAGCTAGCTCTTTATTAGTGCTTGGTAGAACTTCATGTTTCTTCACTTTTTGTTTGATTTTGTTGACAAATGGAGACCAACAAAGATGAGGTAGGGTTTAATTATAGATTAACTAATAGAAATGTGCGCATGGGAAATCTGTGTGGCTTGAAACTTGTTCAAAGTGGCTCTATAAAAAAAAACTTTTTTGGAGAGGATCTTGTGCTTTTGACCAATTTTGTCTTGCATTAGTTAGCTCTTTTGCTCTCTGATTGGCCTATAATATTATTGAATTGGAGAAATTTGCAAATCCTTCTTAAATGAGATTGTTACATTTTTCAATTTGCAGCGCATTTCAATTTGTAGTGCAGAGCATTAGATTTTTCAATCTGGGTCATGAAAAATATGGGGGGGGGACGCGATTGTTCTTTCTCCTCGAGCTAGCTGGTGTCTTTACTGTGTTTGTCGGTACTGCTTAGTCGACTACTGTGGAGAAACAGATGTGGGTTTCAGCTGTTCCTCGCGGGGCGCTTAGTGCACGTGGTAACTGTGTGAGCATTGCTCTTCTCGAACAAAGTTGTACTTGTGCATGAAGATAGATTCATGTAAATTTGATTTGATTTAGTTTCTGTTAGAAATAGTTCGGATGTTCCAAATTCTTTATCAGTACTACATCAAAATTCACGATATGGCAAAGATTAAGAAAATGTGTTTTTATGTTTTAATATGATTTTGATTAGGGAAAAATGCTTCCAGCCCCCAAAAGCTAAGGAAACGTGCTTCCCACTCCCAAGACTTTGTCAACGGGTGTTTTACCTAGGGGTGTGCAACGGTCGGTTCGGTTCGGTTTTTACCAAAATTTAAACAACCGAACCGAACCGCCTATAATTCAAAACCGAACCGAACTGTTGCAAGTCGGTTCGGTGCGGTTCAGTTCGGTTTGTTCGGTTCTAACTTCATCAAACTTCTTATCAAACAACAAACTGTGTTAAAGAAAAAAAGGATATCAACAAAGTAGAAGATTATGAAGCATTAAATACTGATATAATGATATTGTTTTTAACCCATAATGATTCAGAAAATGAGTTTAGCGTTTGAGTTTTTGACTCTTTGGGGACGGGTCGGGTGGGGTTTGAGATCAGAATGGGTAGTATTGCACTATATTCGGTCGGTTCGGGTCAGTTCAGGTTGAAAAGTTTTCAAACCGACCCGAACCGTCCTACTCATAAAACCGATTTTTTCGGGTCGGTTCGGATCGGTTCGATCGGTTTTTTCGGTTTGGACCGAACCATGCTCAGCCCTAGTTTTACCCCTAAAAATAAAGATTCTGTTCTCTGAACCCCCAAAACACAAAACCCAAGACATTAAAATATGTGAAGACCATAATACCCTTCTCTCTCTCTTTCTTTTTTTATTAAAATATGATGAGGATTGTTTTATTATTTTTGTTTTCTCTGTCTCTTTATCATGAAGTATTGAGATGATAGTTGAAATGATTGATGGGGATTATTTTATTATTTTCGTTTTTATTATTTTGGTTGTTTGTATTGGGAGATTGTTAAAGTTATGGGTTAATTGTTAATGTTACGAATTAATTGTTAATGTTACGGGTCAATTGTTAAGGTTATGAATCCTCTCTCTCTCTCCTTCTTTTTTTATTAAAATAAGATGAGGATTATTTTATTATTTTTGTTTTCTCTCTCTCTTTATCATGAAGTATTGAGATGATAGTTAAAATGATTGATGATGATTATTTTATTATTTTTGTTTTTTATTATTTTGGTTGTTTGTATTGGGAGATTGTTAAAGTTACGGGTTGATTGTTAAGGTTACGGGTTGGTTGTTAAGGTTAAGGGTTTGTTGTTAAGGTTATGATCATGATGTTACTTTGATGATATTAAAATGATTGAAGATGATTATTATTTTATTATTTTTGTTTTTTATTCTTTTTGTATTTTTAGAATATTCGTTGTTAAGGATAATGGTTGGTTGTAAAGGTTATGCATTGATTGTTAAGGTTACGGGTTGGTTGTTAAGGTTAAGGGTTTGTTGTTAAGGTTATGGGTTTGTTATGTAGGTTACGGATTTGTTGTTAAGGTTACGGGCTTAATTGTTAAGGTTACGTGTTTAATTGTTAAGGTTGCGTGTTTAATTGTTAAGGTTACGGGTTTAATTGTTAAGGTTACGGTTTATTAATTGTTAATGTTACGGTTTAATTGTTAAGGTTACGGGTTTAATTGTTAAGGTTACGGGTTTAATTATTACGGTTACGATTTTAATTGTTAAGGTTACGAGTTTAATTGTTAAGGTTACGGTTTAATTGTTAAGGTTACGGTTTAATTGTTAAGGTTACGGTTTAATTGTTAAGGTTATGGGTTTAATTGTTAAAGTTACCGGTTTAATTGTTAATGTTACGGTTTAATTGTTAAGGTTACGAGGGAGAGAGAGAAGGGATCCATAACCTTAACAATTGACCCGTAACCTTAACAATTAAACCCGTAACCGTAACAATAAAACTCATAACCTTAATTAAACCCGTAACCTTAACAGTTAAACCCGTAACCTTAACAATTAAACCATAACATTAACAATTAATAAACCGTAACCTTAACAATTAAACCTGTAACTTAACAATTAAACACGCAACCTTAACAATTAAACCCGTAACATTAACAATTAAACCCGTAACCTTAACAATTAAGCCCGTAACCTTAACAAAAAATCCGTAACCTACACAACAAACCCATAACCTTAACAATAAACCCGTAATCTTAACAACCAACCCGTAACCTTAACAATCAATGCATAACCTTTACAACCAACCATTATCCTTAACAACGAATATTCTAAAAATACAAAAAGAATAAAAAACAAAAATAATAAAATAATAATCCTCTTTAATCATTTCAATATCATCAAAGAAACATCATGATAGAACGAAAATAATAAAATAATCCCCATCAATCATTTTAACTATCATCTTAGTACATCATGATAAAGAGAGAGAGAAAACAAAAATAATAAAATAATCCTCATCATATTTTAATAAAAAAAGAAAGAGAGAGAGAGAGAGAGAGAGAGAGAGGATTCATAACCTTAACAATTGATCCGTAACATTAACAATTAATTCGTAACCTTAACAATTAACCCGTAACTTTAACAATCTCCCAATACAAACAACCAAAATAATAAAAAACAAAAATAATAAAATAATCCTCATCAATTATTTCAACTATCATCTTAGTAAATTATGATAAAGAGAGAGAGAAAACGAAAATAATAAAATAATCCTCATCATATTTTA